GTGTGGGAGGGAGGGTGGGCGTAGGGCAAGTTCATACACCGAGATCTATTTTGACGGTTCGGAATGGCATCCCTTCAAAGGCTGTCATTGTTATCGGATTGTTCACATGGCTTACATGGTTTCATTTTGTAGTGATTGTCTTGAGTGGTTATTTCAAACCAAAGAGGACCCTCGTTTCTCGCTTGCCCCGAGCCGACCTTCGGACCCGTTGTCCAGTTTCGTTGTTGTAGTCAAGGTCTGAAGGGTGTCTAAAGGGTCAGCATGGGCGGGGCAAGTGAGGTATTTGTTTAGAGGGGCAAGCTGTCAAGGTGGCTTTCAGCTCCCTCTTTGGAGACACATTCACCTGAACCCGGCTTGGCTTGTGCCAGCGATGTGCTTGTGGGTCTACCTTGTCTGATGTATGGATGCGGGTCTGTATAGTTCCCTATACCTTAATGCTCTATATCACCTTCTGGGCTGGGATGGTCAAGAAGAAAAACGTAGTGAACCTCAATTTGCCATCAACTTGCCATCGGTTTGTGAACATTTGTTTTTCAGCGGGTGCCACTCATTCGACACTTCCAATGGCTTTTTGCAGCCGCCGTCAGACGAAATAAGACAAATGTCAACCTCGGAGAGAAGATCTTGCAGATCAGCGGGCGTTTCTCTCAAACTTCCAAGCGAAGGATTGGTTCTACCCATGAAGCAACCACTGGTTATTGATCAGCTGGGTTCCCATTGGCTATTCCTGTCATTGTTTCTCTCCCCGGATGCGACCAACGTTTGATTGGTTAAATCCATCCTGGCAAACCCCTGGGGTTTCTGAGAAAATCCCATCTTCTTAGTAAAAAGCAGCCATCATAGAACCTGAGCCCAGGGTCCAAGGCATTTGGTGTCCCTCCCATTGGGTCACTCGAGCCCTCGGGCTGAGGCTTGCAGGAGGCGCTGGAGCAAGGCACCCAGAACCACATCGATGAGATCCTGCATGGCCTCGAGCCTTTTGAGCTGCAGTTAGAGAGGTGATCCGGAAGACCGGGTGCCTTAAACATGAAGTGGGGGGAGGGGGGAATTTTCACTGGAGATCTCGGGGGACCACCCCCCCTCCCCCTGAAGGTAGGGGTGGGTTCCTTCCGCTTTCCGGGTGGAGTAATTTGACACAATTTGATGTGATGTTTTTGGGATTTGGTTGCTCATGTTGCCATTCAGAGAGTGGAATTTCCAGAAAGACATGTCGTTGTGGCCCAATTTGAGGTGTTGTTGTTTTCTGGGATTGGTTGCTCATGTTGCCCAAAAAAAGAGAGTGGCCATTATGGGAATTCACAGAAAGGCCCTTCGGTTCCTTGCCAGAGCTGCCTTGCAAAATTAGCATGGAACCCAAACAGGAGTCCATTTTCCAAACGGAGCTTCCCGTAGAACTCGAAGCCCTTCTAACATGAATACGTGCCCAAATAGGAATCGAAACCCCTGGAATATGTGGTTTCCTTGGTTTAAAATGAAGCCAACCCCAAAAGGGCTACACTAGACACAGCACACACACACACACCCATACAAGTGTGGCTTTTTCCAGACGACCTGCTAGAATGGTGTTTTTTGTTTTTGCCTCTCCTTGAACCCCGCCCCCCACAAGGGGTACCAACTCCAAAAAAGACCAGCCGCCGCCCATATTTGTTCCGGGTGAGTTTCTGCGCAGGTACCGAGTGCACCGCGCCACTCGGGTGTTGTACGTGCGTGGTGGCCTGGATGACCAGAACCTGACCAGGCCCGGATTCGATGGCCAGCGATTTCTTCAGCGGTACTCGGATTCGAGTGCTGTCGCATAGGGGAGCTGCAAGATTGGGTTGTCCCAGGTTTGTTTCCGTTTTGAAACCATCCCAAGAAGGGGACCCTCAAAACAAGAAACACCCCTTTGAGGGCTAAATCATGTGAGACATGTAGCTTCTACTGTGGATTGATGATTCCCCTGTAAATACCAACAAACAATGGCTTCCCATGGATCCAATGTAATGCAGGAGTATCCACAGTATGAGCCGGACTTGATTCTGCTTTGAAGTAACCCACCAGCCCATTCTAATCATTGAGACCCTTATCGTGCTTGATTGGACAATGTATTGTTGCATTTCGGGCTGGACAATTGAATCTAATTTGAGCACGTTTGACCTTGGCTCAAGGGCTGGGGCAATTTTATGTCTCATGCTTGGTGTTTTAACCATCACCTCTCAGGTTGATTGTTATCAAAAGTGGGGCTTCCTTTGGCTGGGTGGACGTTTCACTGGGAAATGGCCCTTGGATGTGCCATGCTGTGCTTCAGAGGGTCCAGAGGTGAAGGGAATGGTCAAGAGCTTGCACTCGCAGCTGCTTTAGGTGTTTGTTTTTCGTTCTTTTTTTTTTCTCTTTTTTTCCGGGAACCGCAGAAGCAGCTTGCCACCGCTGCCTGATTTACAGCCTCACATTGCAGGATGTGGGAAGCGTCTCCGTTGTTTGCACCGATCTGGCATTGGATTTTACCTGGGTTCTGCTTCCAGGTGCCCAGTTGCAATCAATGGGTTCCGCCCGATTGCTGCTTTTTGTTTGCCGTGAATTCAGCCAGAATCAAACAGGACGCACGATGTTACCCCACTTCGGATGCAATCCCGAAGATATGTAAACCCGACCACCACGAGAGTGTTGCCCACAATTCTGGCAGGTCGAAAGTTGCCAGAATCAAAGCCCGGGTAGGTTGGTTTGTAGGAGTCCCAACCATGAATGTGTGCAGATACCCGGTTTGACCAGACTTCTTTTATACCAGGTTTTTGGTTTTGTCTCATTTGGAGAAACAGTTTGAGACTGCCTGAGGACAAATATGTTTTGGATGGTCCAAAACCAAGTTGCGGCACACTGGCTGGCTTTGGTTTTGATCGTGACTCAACAGCCCTCATGTGAACCCTCCATGTTGGAAACTGGTCCACATCCATTGTTTGCATCTGGGCCAAATAAAACTGGAGATGTGATTTAGACCAGATGCAGGACATGGGAAAAAATCCAAGCTTCCATTTGCTGAAGAATATGGTTATTATTTTTTTGCAGGGGGCTTGAGCAACTAGAAGGAAGAGTTGAGGCCTCAGTCTTTGAATCTCTGGGGCCGCCTGGCTGAACCTCCTGGGCGTCGGGCCAGGATGAAGTTCCACGGCCGTGAGCTCCGGGCGGTGGCAGATCGTTTACGCAGCCCCTCGGTGCTCGAAGGGGGGGTCTGCTTGAAGCGGGGGGCTGGTCTTGACGTTGCTGAAACCTGGGGTAGACTTAGGATACACTTTACGATTTACCAGTGAATCCATGTGAAGCAAACAATAATCTATATATATATATATATTCCAGAACTGGGCCTAACTCTAATCATGAAAAGGGGATGCCCTTTTTGTTGCACCGCTGTTCGACCTTTTTTTGATTTGAAAGGAACAATATCGTGCACCAGGGACCGAAACTAGGAGCCTTTCTTTTTGAACAACCCTTGCTCGGAGTGCCCGAACTCTCCCACTGAGTACTCCTCGTCTTGCAAACAAGTATATAAACTACCCCCTCCCCCATACTGGGCCATATCAATTCCCAAAACAAGTTGGCTCATTACCTGTATTTCAGTATGGCTACCCGATTTGGAACGTGTGTTGGATACAGCAGGTTTGCCCAGGGAGTTTTGTTGCTGTCTTGTTATCAAAGCGTATGGCTGTGTGTTTGCAAAGCTTTGCTTTGTTGCTCTCCTGTTGTTGGCAGCTTGGACGCATACGTTTGCTGCTGAACTCGCATTCTTTTGTTTTTTTAGTTGTGTCGTAGTCTTGTGATTTCATGATTGTCTCAAACGATTTGTCGCACGCACCCTTTGCAGCTTTGCTTTCGCCCAATGTACATTCTAGATGCATCATGTCAAGCGAGGACCACTTGTCTCACATACTGATCCAGAGCCATAGCAAAGGGACTCATAGAAACCTCATAGAAACCTAATAGTAACCAGTAGCGATGGTTCCAGGCCCTTAAGGACCACCATTAAAGGTTACGACCTTCCCATGACTCCCCTTGCTTTGGCTCTGAATCAGTATTGGGATTGTCCCTGTAAAAGCCGGAAACACAATTGCGACCTCAACCAAGGTAAAGGTTCCTTACTTGGGCCCTTGAATTCAGGCCTGAAATGCGGGACCCCGCCGAGTTTTGCAGCTTAGCTTTGGCCCTTTGCTGGCCATGGGAGCCGTGGCTCACGAGTCTATGGCACATGAAGCCGCGACGCCGCGACAACTCCTCAGGCTTCGACTCCTTCCAGAAGGCCAAGGACGACCTCAAGGATTTCCAGGCGAGTTCCGACCGGACGCCGGGTCGGCGCCCGCATGGCTTCGCGCATCCTTTGTTCCCTTGGCGTTGCAGTCTGCCAGACGTAGGTCTAAAAAGCGAGAAGAAGGGCGAATATATTTGCCAAGCGGGTTTTGGACGCCCTTGAAGTCCACGCTGCAGTCTCATTCGTCCAAGGTGTAAGGGTAATCAGACAGTTGCCTTAAGGCTATAGCAATAGATGAATTCACAAATAAGCATGCTGCCTTGCCTAGGGTGGATATTCAGAAGGTTGTCACACTGCAGGCCTGGCTTATGATTTCTTTGAGCAACTTCTTTCAAGCCACATCCAGCAATTTTTGGTTGCCTCACCTAGGCTTTGTTCTCAAGAATTCATCAATAATTAAAGCCATCTTTTTGGTTGTGGCAATGAATTACAGGCCGCCGCAAGACCCAGAAATCACCCCCCAACGCCCACAAAAAAACGCGACCAGGAACCGGACCCCGCCTAAGCCAGGCCCCGCTTTGTCAGTCCCTGCTGTACAAGCCGCCACATTTTTCAGGGGAGACCCCAACAATCAAGCGTTCCACGGGTAAAACCACCCCACTTTCCGACCCCCCCCTCGGACCGGACCCCGCTTGCACGTCTGGACCCGCCCGAGGCCTGCCTGGAGCACCTGCACGGGCACGCGGAGCGCGTGCCCTTCCGGCGATGGAAGGCCCTGGCCAAGCGCCTGGGATTCCGATTCGACGTCTGACGGCTGGGGCGGGTGGGGCGTCGGTTTTTGGAGTTGGTACCCAAAATTTGGTGGGAAAACAGAAGGAACACCAAATGCATGTTTGTTGGGGGGCCTCGGACAAAAAGACACCCATATGAATATGTCGTCTTTTCGGAATTTGGGTTTGAACAAGTATAGTTGTTGCCGTGAAGGTTACGTTATTTTCGCGTGCCGGGGCCACCCTAGGAACGGGAGAGAGGATTTGTTGATTTGTGGTTGTGGGCAAATTACAATGCGCGACATAGGCACGCGGACCCACTTGCCAAAGGATGCCACCGGGGACATGCTGGACTCCGATGAATGTTTTGTCGCGCCCAAACCGAAGATGCCTTTCTTATCACGACTTGCCACTGCTCGGTTTTGCTAAAGGGGAAGCGGCGCAACAGCCGCTCAAGAGCAGTGCCAGAGCCCATGGCAGGGCAAGAAAAGCGCTCGCTGATAGTATTTTGTTTTCCGCCGGAGATGATCTCACTCCAAGGAGACCTCCGCACACCCACAAGCAAAAGCACATCCAAGCGTAGCTGTCCAGAAGCATTTTGATTCTAGGCGGAAGCGTTTCAAGAAGGCTGCAAACGGCCAAAGTATTGCCCTTCCCTTCTGCGCGGAGTTGAATGGGAAACCGAAAGGCAAGCATCCTCAGTTCTCCCCGTTGACGTTGGCCATTGGTGTAATCCCCAGATAGCCCCTGGTGCCATGAGCCACGAGCCATGCCCCGTGCCTGAGGCCCGCGGAGGACACGCAGCTCTCTGAGCAGCTGCCGCTGGCGCTGGTCACCGCGGTGGGGGGCCACAGATGTGGAGCCCGGAAGGGCGACGGAGGAGATGAGACTCAAAACATGGGCAAAAAATAGACCCAACCGCAATGTGTGGTATAGGCCTCTGACAGTTTGGGAGGTGGAGGTATTGACTATGTGTAGATAGGAATGTGTAATATATGTATGGATATATGATATATATATATATATGTATGTATATATATATATATATTACATGATATGCGAGCGCCGCTCATGTATGAAGGCATGACCCCAAAGGTCAAGCCTTTCGCTTTAGGTCTGTGGCAAAGCAAGGGCCACCTCCAGGTGGTTGATTTCGTTTTTTCCAACCATTTTACAAGGTTCCCCATGTTCAGACGCACGCCTGTAGCTATATGTTTGTACCGTTTGACACATCGCCACCTGGTTGCCAGAGTTCTAGAACGCTTCTATGACGGCCCCCACAAATTGGCTGCGTGCCAGAAAAGGAATCCCCATTTGTGGGAGGTGTGTTTGTAGGTGTGGAGCTGCCCTATCTCAGGTTCCCCAAATTAGCGTTTTGGATGAGTGGTTTATAGGTTGCGCTGAACTGCTTCACTTTTGGGCCCAAGGAATCAACCAGGGCTTACTAATCTGGGTCAACTTCAGACCTTTGATTTTTAGTCCTGGTGGCGGTGAGCAACGAGGTATGCCTGGAGTGCATCTAGCTCAAGGTTGTCACTACATGGCTGCGAAAAAGAGACGGCCCCGCCTTTGCTTGATGATCCTGTTGTTTGCTGTCGCGTGGCCATGCAGACGTGCCGTGCACATAGGTGCGTATGTGTGCGTGCTTTGCGTGTTTTGTTTGTTTGATTTGATTTGGTTTTACTTTGGTTTGCTTTGCCTGTCTGTGTCTCTCCGTCCGCCTTTCTGTCCGTTTGCCTGTCTGTCTGCTGCTCTGCTCTGCTCTGCCTGCCTGCTTGTCTGTGTCTGCTCTGCTTTGCTTTGTTCTGTCTGTCTGTATGCTTGTATCCTGTTTGTTTGTCCTGTCTGTCTGTTTGTCTGTCTGCCTGTCTGTCTGCCTGGCTGCATGTCTGTCGGTCTGTTGGTCTGTTGGTCTGTCGGTCTGTCGGTCTGTCGGTCTGTCGGTCTGTCGGTCTGTCGGTCTATCGGTTTGTCGGTCTGTCTGTCTGTCTGTCTGTCGGTCTGTCTGTCTGTCTTGTTTGGTTGTTTGGTTGTTTGCTTGCTTGGTTGGCTGGCTGGTTGCTTGGTTGGTTGGTTAGTTGGTTGGTGGATTGCTTCTTGATTTGTTCCTTTGTTTGTGTTTTGGTTCATGTGTTTTTTGCTATTGGCATTCCAACATATTGTTTCCTCGTTCAAAGCCTTTTTTCTGTCAGGTCATTGTGGACGCAGCTGTGGACGGGATGCTGATTGGCCTCTTGGCAAATGGACCCGGGCTGGGTTTGGCCAACCCTTCCTTTGGGGGTATTTCGGAACCTCATGCGTGGGGCCAAATAAAAAGGACGCTCTCAGGCCTTTGCCTGTGGTGTTGCTCCTCCTGACAACTATCCACCCTTCTAAGATTCTAAGAGCGGGGGTGAAACCAGCTCACCCCATGAAGTTCCTTTACGTGTTTGAATGAAGACTTGTGAATCGATGCAATTAGTCAGATGGCCTCTTTTGGAAGGATCGCTTTTCTCGGCGGGATGCCTGACTGGCAAAGCTTGATGTGGCAAGTGGGGTGGTGACACGACCACTGTACCGCCACAAGCTTCGTGAAGTGCCGCGCCACTTTGAGGCACTATCTGAAAGGAGGATCCCTGTAGTTGGATACAGGCATTTCAAAAGAGAACTACTCTTTTTCTTGCTGGTCCCCCATTTTTTTGAGGCACCCAAACAGCATCTGATAGGCACCATACCAACACGCAACTTATATATGTTGCTCTTGCTCACAGACCCATAGTGTAAGCCTTTGTGGAATGATCATGCTTCCCAGGGTAGCTGGGCAAGGCCACACACCTCAGGGAGGGGGCAGGAGAACTCTATCATGAAGGAGCTTTCTTTCTTGGAGGTGACCTCTTGCCAGGTCAGTGTTTGGGTGTAGCGGTTGAGCAACTCTGAGCCGCTGAGGTTTGTCCTACGCGGCATCACCGAGTGCCACAGCTGCAACTGATCACGTTCTGCACTTGACTTCCTGGGGAGTAGCCGCTTTTTTGGTAGCTTGAAATGGGCATTCAAGAGACCCCAGGGAGGCGGCAACATATTCCACTAATTTGAGACATCAACAAGCGCCAACCACTCGCTTCAAATACGCTTTGGGAGGATCATGTTGCGGGGAAACAGCAAGTCCTGTCTTGGTGCCAACACTCAGAAAGTGAGCTTTGTTGCAGTCGGCATCCAGGCAGGAATGGCCGAAGCTTGCACACACTTCCATTTTGGCACTCTTAGCTGCTTGACTGATTTTTCTTGTTCCTCAACTCATAAAGCTTCAGAAATCCTCGCTGGTGAAAGTGCTTGCTCCTGTGCAAGTGGCCCGTGTGGTTGCCGACCAGTTCGCACCAACAGACTGTTTAGCCCACCACTCAAGCTGGACTGTCCCAATCCTTTGGTTGTCAAGCCCTCAACCAAACTCAGGAACCCTTCCAGTACATGGTCCGGCCATACCCAGACACTTCAATGTTGCTGCTATTTGCCAACATTCGCAAACGTTGGCCTGAGAAGGAACATTGCAGTTTATAAGGCCAATGTTGCTCTGAGGGCATACATCCAAAATGTTAGTTCTGCATGTTCGACAATTCTCCTGCCAGCAAATTATCCAAATCACGGTAATACATGAATGTACCCCAAGTTTAGTATACATTTGGCCCAAATGCATGCCACAAATAGCCTACATTCAGTCCGACAATCACGCCAAATCTCGGGCAAGTCACGCCCAATCACGCCCAATCGCGGCAGCCAACAAAGTCATAGATTCCAATAAGCCCAATGTTGCCAACATATGCCTACATACCGAATGTTGCTCTGAGAGGCCTACATTTGAACGTTAGTAAATATGATCAACATGGAGTGTGTGGGATACGTTCCTTTGTCAGGTTTCATATCGATTCCCTAGACAGTCAGTGCAAGCAGGCATGCCTTGTTCAAAAGCATACCAACAAGACCATGCGTTGTTGTTGTCTTGTGTGCAGTCCGCGGTTTTTGTGGGTCACATACGTTGCACATCAGGCGCCGGTTGGGCCATGGCGCTGGCCACCTGCATCGAGCCATGGCTTAAGCGACTTCGGGCAACTTCGATGTCTGTGGCTTTGCCAGTCGGGGCACCGCGGTCCATGTTTGACCGCATTTTTGGGGCAAGAACGACGATGACCACCTCACAAGTCGCATTCCTGGAGCCACCGGGCACCGGAATCAATTGAAGCCGCCGGTCGTTTCCCGGGAAAGCCCCCCCAATGGCATGATTCATGATTCCCGGTGGACACCAAAGATCCTTGAAAAGGGTAGCAGGCGACAGCCCATTCAGCTATGGCAACTCCTGGCTACCGGTTACCAGCTTTCCTGGCTTGGGAGGGACTAGAGTGGAAGTGACCCAACCATTTAGCATCGCTGCAAGGGTGTTCCATTGTACTGGCAAAAAGAATCCAGACTGAAATCAGTGGAATCCTTCTATTCTCAACTGCAGCCCGCCAGTTGAACACTGAGCATATTATAAGGATAGCTTACTTTCCATGAGCATTACCTCCCCCAAAGAAACTCACAAGCGAGTAGAACAACGACTCACAACCGCTTGTTTACAGTTGTTGTTCCCAACACATCATCTATGGGGAAATCATATAAGCAACCCACCCCTGGCGCTCCCCAGCTGGAGAGAGCTGATTCGATTAGAAAGAGTTTCCTCTATCCTCAGGTCACCCCCATTTGGGGATTTGAACCCCTGGTTCTTGTAGAGGGTAAATGGGAAACCATCCCTCAACCACCAAACCATCCACCAATTCGATGATTTGCTTTTAAGGCCTGAATTCTTTGCTCACCTTCTGAGGCTTCCTCATTTTCTCGACATGTTCAGCCTGGGCGTTTTGAGACTCGGATCAGAGGCACCGCCGGGGCAGAACGGCCTCGCTTGGCTCAGACGGACCCGACTCGACCCATGCCCGCCATGTCGAAGATCGCCATGGGCGCCGGAGTGGCGCTGGCCGGGACGGCCTTCTTGGCGCCCCAGAAGGCGCCAGTGGCTTTCGGCTTTCGGCTTGCGGCCGAGGTCGCCTGGGGCTCCGAAGGCGGTCTTTCAAATGGGAAGCTCAAAAATTGGGAGGCCAGCTTGAAAGTGGGAGGACGATGCCCACCATGTCCAGTAAAGGGTCCCCAAGTTGAGATTAGCAGCCAAATGATTAAAATGGGGAAGCCCTTGAACTCCAGAGGTTGATTGTGGCTCAATTGGTTGCAACTACTCTTCACGAGTTCGCCAGTTGCATCCCCCACCAAGTTTGAAGGGCAACACGGCGTGCACTGAACAACTGGGGCCCAATAAGACTCCTCTGGCTTCGCCAGGGTGTTTGAAGGGAATGCCAGGCATATATAAATCACTGGAGATTGAACTTCACTGGTTCGGAGGGGAGAGGTTCCATACGTCGGATTTCATTGTTCTTGAATAGATCACCATGGCTTTTTTCATATCAAAACCCAGCCCAACGTTTTTGTTTTTTCATAAATGAGCACCAAGGCACGCGAGTCGTCCAAGCTTCCCCTGGCCGAATTTCAGGTGAGCACCACTGCGCCGGCCAATTCCCAAGGCCTGCGCGGCGCGCCGGCTTCGGCCCAGCAACCGCTGCTGGGCGCGTTTTTTTTTTTTTTTTTTAAGGTTTTGGTGGGCCTTACTTTCAGGTTACACCCCACTTGGTGGCTCCCAGCCATCCGGTTTTTAGATCTTTTTAGATCTTTTTAGTTGGTGTAGTGGTTGGGGTTCCATTTGACCCACTCAAAGTTAAGCTTTTAACGGGGGATTTGAGGACAGCCCAGCCCAATAGGTGGGTTGAATGGGTGGTTGCACCCTGGTTCTCGTAGAGGGTACATGGGAAACCATTCCAAAGTGGTGGTCTAAGGATTTGAACAACCCCGTGACGTCCAAGCCACCGAACCAAACGGCCAATTCTAGGGGTAAGTTGTTGATTGGAAAACCAAATTAAGTGTTCAGAAGAAAACGTGTGTAACTTACCTCCTTATATCAAACAAACCCTCCTTGTTGAGAGACCACATGCTGTTTGTTTGTAGCCATTCAGCCCCTTATTTAACCCATTTCACCCAAATAGATCTCTAAATCCGAATCCCAAGCATGATATACTGTTATCATTCCTCAAAAACGCTCGGTTGTCACACATGTTCAATCCACGCGTCAATATGGCCATCTTCCCGGGTTAAGTTTGCGTGTGGAAACGACAATGGCTTCCATTTGCTTAATAATATGTTATATGTTCCCTTGGTTTGAAATTCAATCTATCACCACTGGACATATCGTGTTGTTGTCGATTTCCCCAGGGGCACTTTAAGCAAATCGACGTTAGATCTCATATTTACTTCCATTTGGTTGAGAATATGTTTTTTTCTTCTTCTTAAAAACATGTCCCCTGTTGGTTTTAAAGGGAATCTATCACTACTGGACATAGTTTCTATTTTTTCCAGGCGACTTAAGCAAATCGAGGTTTAGATCAATCCCAAAAAAGTCACCTGACTCCTTCGTAAGGTCCTTGGGTCTCGGCAGCCTCGCCCTGGGCGGCCTCGGTCTCGCAGCCTTGGCGAGCCGCGGCACCAGCCGCAGCTCCGCGCCGTCCGCGTGCCGCGTCTACGACGCTTCCAAGGCCGGGACGCCGGGATTGCATTCCCCCCCCAAAAGAAAAGGTGGGGACCTGTTCACGTGTTGGTTTCGTGCCATTTTTCTTTTGGACCTTTGGACCTTTTGACCCCTTTGGTCGATTTTTAGTCACGGCCCCAGAAGGTTCGGCTGTGGGTTTGGGGTCCTTTGGGCTGAGAGTGCCATTCATGAGCTTGTCATTTTCGCTCGAAAGCAAGCAAGCTATAGTTGGTCGTGTCAAACAAGAGGAAGCCGAACGAACTGTCAATGACCGAATGGGAAACGAGCGCAGATGTTGCACGATGCTCAACCCGCCAGAGGCCACTAAGTGGTTCTTTTCCCCGGTTGGAAGGGAGTCTGTTCTTACGTTGCAAGGGGCATGCTTTCAGCTGGTCAAAGGGAGTCTGTTTTTGGTACCAGGAAACTATTGAGTACAGCTTTCAAAAGAATCGCAAAGGGGCCACCTTGTCTATGATGAAGGACCGTTCATATCGGCTCTCTTGCTTTTTTTGTGTATTGAATTTCGTGTAACTAGTACTACCTCATACAACTGTAATGGGTAACAATGGTCATATCAGCGACCAACACTACTGACATGCAACATGGCCGCCTCCCAATCCAAGCTTCTGGGCAGCACTTCCTTGCCTGAAAAGCCATGGTACACGAGCTTTGTAGCAACAATGTCATGAGATGCCACACAATTTGTGAGCCCAAAAGCTGCCCACAAAGAGTCGCAGTATGTCAAAAGTGTCATGGGATTTCCTTCCACTTTCCTTTGGCCACACGGGCCAACGGGCCTGGTGCACCACCTGGAACTGTTGAAATGGCGAGTTCAGGGCCTACATGGCCCCTGGTTCCTACGGACTTCCGATAGAAATATCACGCCCCCAAGCACTCCATGAGAACCGGCAGCCAAAAGGTGATGTTTAAGCAAGCCAACCCCATGCCTCAAGGTGTTTTCTTTGGTTTCTCTGAACCACGAAGGGGAAGCAATCCCCAGAAAGGGGCAAAACATGACTTCCATCAACCGGGAAATCTGGTTGGACTCCTACCAAACCTCCGGGGGTTGGGTGATAGCAGTGCTGACATCTTGGGTGTGCCAACCGCAAACCGTTCAACCATGCTGCTCCATCTTTGAGTGGGCCAAACCTCTGGCTAGGGGGTTTTCCGAACTCAACTAGAGGGAGGTCCAACATGATCCTTTTGCCGGAGGGCATCTCTTCTGAAATCTGTTTTCGCGTTGTAAGCTTCAACGTTCAGTAAATTTGGGGAATCACCCCCCCCCCCCCCCCGGAACAACCACACCCCCAACCAAACGGCCGTGGGTCAAAACCAATGGTACCATTTTGGGGTAGGTGCACCACCCATTTGGACCATGGCCAAATAAACACCCCCCCCAATGTTCAACTCCCAGGGGTTGCTGCAGGAGATCGGCGCCTGCGACCCCTTGCTCTTCTGGGATCCCATTGGCTATTGCCAGGGGGACTGCACCAAGCAGGCGCGGCCTCAGGGATCCTCATGGCTTTGGTTCCTTTTTCGAGGCGGCCTGTTTGGGGGTCTGGCTTTCAGAGGAAAGGAACTCCCCTTTTTTTGGTTTTGAGCGGTTCCCGAATCTTGGTTCCAACCCTTATGCTTCCTTTGTTTAGATGATTCAATCGCCAACATGTGCTAGTTGTGTTTTACTTTTGTACTTTTGTAATTCGGGTGATGTTCGAGCTTGCAAGTGGACACAAGGAACCATGGTGAGGAATTTGTTCTACAATAGTTTCTGGGTTCGGGTGTTGGACGCATTCAGCATGTGGAGGTTTCTTGGTCCTTAGTCTTAATGAGAGTCTCCGAATGGACACACACAGGCGAACGGACAGAAGGAATGCATTTGTTTCCTGCAAGTGTTAAGATTTGCCAAGAAGAAGATCAATCACGCAACCAAATACATGACATTGTACTATCACCGCTCCAATTTCAATGTCGGTGTTTCCTTTCACGCCCTGCCCTGCACCTCTTTGAGCAGACTTTCATCATCGCTTACTTTGGTTTACACATATCCCCACCACTCAATTCTAGTTGTGTCAAAACCCCTTGCAGTACCCTAGAAGAACGAGGCCCTGAGAAATCACTTGGTCAGCGAACATTCTGTTACGCGACATCCACATGCTCCATACCATGTCAACAGACGTTTGCAGCAGCTTTGCGACGCTTGTAAGTAATTAACATCCCGTTTATAGTTAATCGACGTCCCTTTTTCGAAGCTACGTCGTTTCTGGTGTTTGGCCCTTGAAACATATGCTACATATGAGCCCAATCAAAGCCCGGCTACTTGAAGGTTAGTAAAGGACAGCCCCAGCCACAAAAAGCCGCTGCAGATATCTGCCATTAAAGCGATGCACATTGGTTGGGCCCCTGTCGTACCGTTTGGTTGCGGCCTATGTGAAGAAGTCCTGTTGTGTTTCAAACAGCTGGCCTCGTGCAGAGATGACACTCAACATATTGGGTTCCTTCAGTCTAACTTTAGTTAAAGCAACACGTAGTATAATTGCCATGATTGCACGCAAACACGATTTATAATCCAAATATGTTTATGATTCAAATGATGATACTGATGCACCATACCACACACATACATTATGAATATATTTTCAGAGACTCATATAGAACTAGATATTTTTTCTGGATAAATTTTGGTAAAAGCACACCACAACCAATAGCAACGATAACAATGTTGGAGTACACTATGATTATCATATATGCATATACGTAGCACACACACACACAAGCTCAACAATGACAACGACAACGCCAACCACAACAGCGAAAGCGACCTCGGCAGCATCAATGTCAACCAACGTTAACGACAAGCACAACGACCAAACAGCGGCCACAGCAACGGCCACCACAACAGCAACGACAACAACAACAACAACAACAACAACAACAACAACAACAAGAACAAGAACAAGAACAAGAACAACAACAAGAACAACAACAAGAACAACAACAACAACAACAACAACAACAACAACAACAACAACAACAACAACAACAACAACAACAACAACAACAACAACAACAACAACAACAACAACAACAACAACAACAACAACAACAACAACAACGACAACGACAACGACAACGACAACGACAACGACGACGACGACGACGACGACGACAACAACAACAACAACAACAACAACAACAACAACAACAACAACACCAACAACAACAACAACCAGAACGTCAGCAACCACAACAACGACTGCAACCACAACAACCACAGCCACAACCGCAACAGCAGCAACAGCAGCAGCAGCAGCAACAACAACAACAGCAACAGCAGCAGCAGCAGCAACAACAACAACAACAGCAACAACAGCAACGACGACAACAACAACAACGACGACGACGACGACGACAACAACAACAACAACAACAACAACAACAACAACACCAACAACAACAACAACAGCAGCAACAATAACAGCAACAGCAACAGCAACAGCAACAGCAACAGCAACAGCAACAGCAACAGCAGCAGCAGCAACAACAACAGCAGCAGCAGCAACAAGAACAACAACAACAACAAGAACAACAATAACACCAACAACAAATCCGCAACACACAAACACACAAACAACTACAACAAGCAAACAAACAATCAACCAAACAAACAAACACACAAACACACAGACAAGCAAACAAACAAACAACCAAACAAACAAACAACAAACCACCGCAACCCACAACAAACGATAACAACCAACAATCAGACAGACAGGCAGGGAGGACACAATCAACCACAACGACACCAGCGCCAGCACCACCACCAGAAGCAACGACGACAACAGCAACAACGACGACGACAGCAACAGCAGCAGCAACGACAACGACAACAGAATCAGCAACAGCAGCATTAACGAAACACCCAGCACCACGACAGAGTCAACAACAGCAGCAACAACAACATCATCTTCATCATGATCATCAGCAGCACACTATTCTGTTAGGTCTATTTGACGGTCCCAACCACCACCCCCTGTTTCGTCGCAGGACTTTGACCGGCGCCGGGCAGTGGAGCTCAAGCACGGCCGCGCCTCGGCACCGGGGCACCCACCTTTCTGGACGAAAGGTTGCTAATATTGACCGCGGATTAATAACCCCCTGTTTATTACTATGGGGGTGTGCCTGGCTTTAGTGGGGATTCATCACTTTTGGAGGGGAACACCCCAATTTTAATAAACTGGGGTTTATTAATACGGGGTCAACATTACTGGTCTGTGGCAGATTCCTTTTCTTGAGCAGACACCTTTGGCCGTTGCCTTTTTGCTTGGCGAACCAAATACCTTGAGGCATTTGCATGTTCGCCACCATCGGCATGGTGTGGCCGGAAGCTCGGCAGCAAATGCCGTTTATCACCATTGCAGGGGTGCTATAGTGACCATCGTGCCTCATTCTCGCGTCATACCCCTCCATCGAGGGGCAGCCTGGCTACTTTAGGGAAGTTGGTTTACTTTATGCCCCCTGCATTTGTGAGCCAAGATGAACGCTCTTCAAAGATAGTAGGCCCCAGCTGAATGCTCGGGTTGCAGCTGCAGAATGGCGCACCTGCTTGAAGAAGCAACCAGCATGGGCTGGTAGATGCGACCTAGTTCAATGGTGTGGCCACGTCTTTGGTATTTCAACAAAAACTATTGCTACCTTGGCACTTGAAATTGCTTGTTTAAGTGTCCGATGGCAAATCGAGTTGCTTGTCAAGCAATGCCCAGGTTTCTAGATACTTGCTTGTTCGAATTAAGCGAAGCCGACTGGCTCCTTTGCACACGTCTTCCCTGTGGATACCTGAGCTACACGAATCGCCATGTTTGAAAGGTGCTCCTACTCCTGGGTATTTGTTCATAACTTGTCGTATCCTAGATGACCGCGAGCTGGAAACCTCAAGAGTGCCGAGCTTGCCTTTCAATCACATCACATCAGAGTGAGCAACACATAACACAAACAAATCACACTGCAGTCTTCATCGGAGAAGCCCTGTCCATACAATATGTGTGATGCCTGCTCAGAACCTGATCTTTGGTTTTCTTGTGATGGCGTATATCTTGAGCCATCAGCAGTACTGCATGGCAGGTCTTGCAAAACACACAGTTTTCCATGTTGGCTACAGATTATGCATCATGCACCGTCTTATGTGGAGTCTCAGCACGAGCGCCACAAAGCCATGCGTGTGTGTGTGTGTGTGTGGGATTGTGGCAGTGCATTCGCTGCAACACACAATCACACAAGATGCAATCCTGAGAACGATACCTGTTTGTTTGATCCAATTGCACATGTTCTTGAACTAAGCATCGTTGAACGTTCGCTTTGGGCAGCGCACTCAGACAGTGTATAGCTTGTATGTGTTTCGGCCTTTGGACTGATATGACTCATTGCGCGGTTGAGTCGCGGCTCGGTTTGAACAGCATCTTCTCAGTGCGATGGGACGAAGACAAGCGCTCGCACAAAGTTTGAATGGCTGTGATTGGAATGACAAATTATATGTAAATACATGCAAGCTGGCAGCCAGGCAGGCAGGAAGGCAGGCAGGGAGCAGACCGGCTGGCAGGCAGACAGAACTACGGACAGTAAATAATACATGCATGCGTAGCCTGCATTTGCATAAGATGCATACTATACATACATACACATAGGTGTAAAATCATATTCACCCAAACACATACTTGTCAACCTATTTCTCCCCCGTTTGTAAAGAGGGTCGAAGTGCGGCCAAGCCAACTGCAGGACATCTTCGGGAAGTTCGACGGGTACCTGTCGCCCTCCCAGAACCTGAAATTCGCGGACGTGCCCAGCGGCATCGCTGCCATCTCGAAGGTGCCCTTGGAGGGATGGCGCCTCGGATCACAAAAAAAGGGCTCGGCAAGAAGTGGGTATGGGTCAAAATTAAACCAGGAGACCACAGGTTTTAGTCATTGTTTTCATTTACCAGGGTGCCATGTTGGGTACCTATTGTTGACCCACAGCCAAGTGATTCTTGCATGGTAAGGCGCCATCTACTTTCATGTGTAAATAGTGTACACTTCCTCAGGACAACATGGAAGCTGCCAGAAGGCCTCCGTAAATGGAACCAAGTCTTCCCAAGGGCTTCCAAGTTAGTCTGGGGGAGGGTACAACCTTTATACGTCTTGAACCTCTTTCAGCGCTGGCTGTGGGCGCTTGTCAGCTTTTTGCTCGGAGGGCTCTAGTCTAGGTAATGGTTTGAAGCCCCACTCTTTGCATAGTGTTAAGAGAGTGCACAAAGAGAGAACACGAGAGAGGAGGAGGGAGCGAGGGAGGGAGGGAGGGAGGGAGGGAGGGAGGGAGATATACAGAACAAGCAGAAGCCACTGCAACATCCGAAACTGTTGTTTGGAATACGAGGGATTGAACCGATTCTTGGTGGTTGGCGGCTATTGGCTAGTCCTCTGAACCATCATGCAAATCACCTATTTTCTTATCTATTTGTTAGTGGTGAGGGGACCGCCCAGCATAGCCCCGCGCAAATTGTGGGTTTTGGTCAGAGACAATGCCTAGAGCAGCTCCTTCGAGTCTGGAATTTTCCACGCGTCGAAATGGCCACCATCAAAGATTTATCAAGACACAATCGGGAAACGCCCGGCAGTTCATGACTGCTACTTGTCTGTGCGAGGGGCCGCAGTGGTCGCTGCGCTCAGACCCGCCAACGTGTTGTGTGTGTGCGTAACAAAGGTTGGATGTGTTACCCAACAAGCAGGCGTGGTCATTTATCTGGGCAACCTGCAGGGACAAAGTCATTTGGTTGGGACTTTTCTGCATGAAGATTCCGGTGCGGGCCTATGTCAAGCTGGTAAGCTAGAAGCCATGGAACCTATCAAAACTGATATTTGGAAAAGGTCTGCGGCTCAAAATTTAAGAGCCAGGGTTACGCAGGTTTTAGTTTTTGGTCTCATTTACCAAGGTGCCATTTTGGGTGCCTATTTTTGAGCCACAGCCAGAACTGATATGTCTTTTTGTTTCTTAGGGCAAAGGGACAGGTTAAACAGAACTGACAATTGGAGGTTCACCGATTCACTCCTTTGATCCCCAGGCTTCAGGTCTTTCTGGTCGCTGGCCTCATTGAGACTCAGCTCTTCAAGGCCTGGGGCCCTGGTCTGAGCCGCTCAGTTTTCGTCCCGGTTCTTGGCTGCGGGGTTTGGAGTTCGACCAAACTAAGCTTATTGGAACACATGATCATTGGAAGATGGCGGTTTGACGAAGCAGCTAAAAGAAATAGCTGGTGACAAACCCCTGCAAGGCCAGGCTTACTCATTTTGCATCTGAAGCGCAGTTTTGGGATCGTTCGGAGCTAGGAGGCCAGCCGCCTTCTGATTGTCACAGTCCAACACGGAAAAGCCGTTTGGATGGACCCTTTTGTGACCCGGCGAAATGAAGGGCGCTGGATATGGTCAATTATCAGGACCCCAAGGACAACCCTCACATTGATATGACAATCCGGGTAAAGTCTCGACTGGATCTTGCAACTTGGGAGAATCTTGATTTCAGTGCTCAGTTCGTGATGGGTCAACTGAAATCTGACAGAGTTGCTTGGAAGCCACACATCAAGGACAATGTGCTCGACAAACAAACGCAAGGTCGATATGCCTCACGCACGCTTATATGAATCGGCCGCATGTGGAACCATCCTGTTGGTCAAGTTCTGCAACAAGGGAGGCTCGAGGGCGGAGAAGAGTTGGCGTTCCATTTCATATAGAACGGCCCAGACGGGGGTTCATCTGAAAAGTGAAGGCCAGAAAGGGACTCCCCGATCAAAATCAATCGGGGGTCTTTTATCCTTGGTTTCCGTGGCCAACACACTCGTTTACTTTGGGGTAGGGATATTTATCAACCCCCAATAAGTAATTTCAGGCAACCATTTGGGTTTGTCTTTCTTTTTGTTGGGGGGGGACCCCCAAAACGGAGAGAACACCCCCTGTTGCTTTGATTCCCAAAAAGGGGGCCTTGGGCCATTGAAGCGAGGACCAGTCCTTCGGCGGCTTCGGCTACGCCAAGTACGGGGAGCCGGGGAATTTCGGCACGGGCTACTGGGGCCGGAAGATCAAGGCCGGGGGAGAGGCAGAGAGTGGGAGACAGGGAGAGAGAGATAGAGGAGACCCGAATGTGGATTCTGGGACCTGGAAGCCGGTTTTTAAGGTGGCACAGAGCGATAGAGAGAGAGAGAGAGACAGAGAGAGAGAGAAGAAAGAAGGAACGAAGGAAAGAAAGAAGGAAGGAAGGAAGGAAAGAAAGGAAGGAAGGAAAGAAAGAAAGAAAGAAAGAAACAAACAACGAAAGCACCAAAGAAATAAAGTAAAACAAAGAAACACATCTGGAACCAGAATGTGAACAGGACCTGGAACCCCTGTTTTGGCACTGAAACAAAGCAAGAGATGCAACTAGCCCTGATTGATGAAACCGTATTGGCTGCTCAGAGTTTTCAATGAGCTTTCTGTCAGGAAACTTGCCTGAGTAGACAGGTTTCTCACTGACAGCGCTTGACAACGGGCCATTGTGAGAACCTGTAGTTGAAAGGTTGGCCTCACTCGCGTGCGTGTCTAGTTGTTGCGAGCTTCGTGGGGGACCTGGATCAACCTGGCTCCATTCTGGGGGACGATGAACATCGAAATTGCCACCTGTGATGCTCACCCGGGGGTTTCCGGGCAGGACGCTGGGGAGCGGAAGCTGAAGCTCACCACGGAGCTGAACAACGGGAGGCTGGCCATGGTGGCCATGGCGGGCATGCTCATCCAGAACGGCCTCACAGGCCCTTCGAAAAAGGGCAAAGGGACGGGGGAGGCTCGGAGGGGGAGAGGGGGGGGGGCAGGGTGTGTGTTTTTTTTTGGTTTGTTTGGGCTGTTTCGAACTTTTTGTTGGTCGTTTCTTTTTCCTGCTTCGGGTTTTGTTCTCTCCTTCTTCTAGGCTGTCTCCCTTGTTTGTGGTCTTGTTGTTTGTGGGCGTTTCTTGTTTGTCCTATGTTTCCGGGTAAACCAGGTTGAGCGTGTTTGCGTTTTTACTTTTGCTTCGGGTTGGGCATGATAGTCTGGGCTGCGGGGATTGGAGGTTGAGTGTGTTTTGTGTTGGGGTAGGGGCGAATTGGTGTTTTTGTTTCTTCCATCCCTCGATTTGTTATGTCGCGCATTGTTTCCTTTCGGTCTGCTTGGAAGAACCGCCTCAGTTGCATGGCCAAGCTCCAAGTAGTTAGTCGCTTAATCAAGTGGGTTGTATGAAGGGTAATCCCAACTTCCGACTCAGAAAGAAAGAACAAGTGGTCATCCATAGGTCCTGCACAACAACGGGTCGGGGCAAAACGCAAATGGAACGGGTCCTCTTTTCTTGAACGAGGGATGAGGTGCAGCTCTCACCCGACTGAGACAGGCTGCACTTGAATGTTCAATCGTCTTAGGAGTGGCAATCCGAAGCAAGGGGTGGTTGATTCCAGAGTGACCGTCAATATAATTTGTCACCGACCCGTTCTCAAGTTTGCAAGCTACCCGGAGGTTGTCTTGCTTGACAATCGTTTCACAATGGAAGGAATGTGAATGTGTAAAGCCACACTTCTGACCATGTGTCACTTGTCATTGTCATTTCCTATTCTAACCATTGCCATTGAGCCGTGCTTGAAACAACATGGAAGGAGCCTGCTTCTCCACTTTGAGTTTTGGCTTGACACGCCTCTGGCGACCCGCTGCACAGTCTGCGGAATTGATGTCGGCCTGTTTAGTTTTTGCGCCGACCGCGTGTTGGACTGAAGCGGTTGGGCCAGATTACAACGCTTCTGCGGCGAGTTGATGCAAAGTGGGATTCAAAGCCCAATAGCATTTAGCAATCGCGCGACGGACTGCCACTTGCCTGCCGGAGACTTGCGCTTTCCGAGCAATTCATCCATGTTGATGCGAGCAACTGTATCGGCACACAATCTAGACATGTTGCGCTTGGCTCTTCTTCCACCCTCAGCATCTCCCGCTTGACTTCATACTTTCGCTGGTATATGGAAGGGCTCAATGGAAACTATCAGCTTGACGAGACTCGCGTGCAGCGCGCAGGTCAGGCTCCCATTGCAGCTCGGCATCTGGTGTCAGGGAAGGGGCCTTCCGGATCGAGCTCGCTCCCATGGATCCAGACATGGTTTCCAACAGGATCCTTCTTTGGTAAGCCCACCATCAAACAGGCTCGCCCATTTTGATTTTGGACCCCCCGCCCCCCCCAAAACTTGGAAACATGGATCAGGTGCTCTACAGGCATGCCCATATTCAGAATCTTCGCATGGGCTGTAACTTTGCTTCACTCATTGAAATTCCTTCTTGCCTCAGGCCCGACCATCGTGCCTAGGGTCCTTGCAAGTTCACGATTTTGGATCAGCAACCCTACAGCACGCTGAAATGCGTGACCAGTATCCGTCAAATGGTAGCGTGAAACGAAGTGCGGTGCACTTTGCTGCTGAACTGTCCAAGCTACAATTGTCAATTTGACACATGTATGTGCACTACAGATCACCGGAAAAAGCGAGGAGATAAATACAGTCACTTCGGTTTTAGCTGCTCACGGGACAGCATCATCCTTGGTGCTATGTTGGGCTATCCTTGCATACATTGAATACATATTCGCTGACATAAAAGTAAGTTGGGGGGGGAGTTCAAGAGAACGACCACAAGAAACTAGAAATCCCCATGTTGACACCCATAAACAGCCGAAATTGGCTTGCAGGCATGGCAGTGTTGCGAAGCGAGGACTCACCGAAAAGCCACTCATTTCTTTTGGGCGTTCAAAGCAAGCCAGCAGGAAGCCAACTACTAGGTCCCCAGCTAGGTGCCCTTTCTCACCCGTTTTTTTTTTTGGGAGATTCGGTTCCCCTACTGAAATAGACTACAGAAAAAAATCGGGTGCCCTTAATCTAACCTCTCTACTTGAGGACCTAGACTATTTGCGGGTGGCGTTGTTTGATACCCACCCTTTGGTGCTTAAGACGCGCCCTCGTTACACCCTTTTCAACTTCACGGCTTTTTATGGGCATAAAAGGCCCCATTGATCAAAGATCGGGGCCTCACATCGGGTCAATAAGCCACCCTTTACCTTTTGACAGGAGTAACCAGCATTGTGAATATGGCACTCCTGACATTCACCAAACAGTTTCTCGGGACTTGTTCACCTTCACCAGTAGCCCTTGCGGTGAGAGGGGGGCAACACGCCCTTTTGGGGTTGTTTCCCCTCTCATAGGCTGAAAAGCGTACGGGGGACTCGCCTTTGCGCCTCGAGGAGCAGCTGACTGCGGGCCACTTCTCGCCCTTCAACGATGGCCAAGGCGCCTTCGCCCAGTTCGACCCCTCCAAGGACCGCCTTGTTGCAAGCAAACCAAGCAGAACTATGGGACTTTGGGTTGCGCGAGAATCACAAAGACTGAAAGGAGAATGGCGTTAATTGGGTAAAATATCGGGACTTGTAGAAGTGTAGAAGCTCTCCTTGACCGGATCCCTTTAAGTTGATAAAGAGGCAAAGGCCAAGCCCTCGGGAGGAAGGGGGGTGCTGTGGAGACTTGGATTGGCAATTCTTTTTGCAGCACCAAGCCCTAAGTTCCCATACCGCGACGAAAGTAGACAAAATAAGGGGACTGGTCTTGGGAGCTGCCACAGGAAATCACCAAATTCCTGCGGGTGTATGGGTCCATGCGCCTTGCAGGAGCTCGGCGCCTGCCCGCCCTTGGGCTACTGGGACCCCTTCGGCATGATGGCCTTCCAGGACGAGGCAAAGTTCAGGCCGGCTTGGGAAGGTGGACACGCGGGTGAGCGAAGGATTGCTTTCGCCCAGAGCTCCAAACCTGAAAAGTAGCCAGCCTCCCGCCTTATTGTAGAAGCCACCCAAGGGTCCCCCAACCTCCCCCCCCCCTCGGCGAGGTTCCATGTGGATAGGCGAGTCTCGCGAAGATGTCGACGCCAGGAAGAACCGTGAGCTGGAGCTGAAGCATGGTCGCATTTGCACCTCGGGGCGCATATGGGAACGGGCCAAAACAAGGGGACCCCAAACTTGGTGGTGTTTCTTTTGGCTTCCCTTCACTCCCAGGCTGGAAAGGGTACAGGATGGACTCATAATAGTGCCTGGCTGGAAGTGTGGAAGTGTGGTGTTGCGGGGCGGGGGCGGGGGGAAGGGATTTGCATCACTGACCGGTGCCTCTTTGTGGTGAAAGTCAGGTTGGATCCTTTCTGAAGAGCTGCCCGCTCCGACATCACGCGAAGACCCACGTTTTTTCAACCACGCCCCCAGGCTCGACCAAGCTGAACCGTTGCTCAGCCGAGATGATGCAAGAGGTCGTGTGAAAGACAATGTCCGTCTCTCAACTTATTGAAGGAGTTGACATGTTGACACCACCCGTAACATACTGAGCAACCATGAAAACAGTGGTATTTGGGTGTGTGTGTGTGTATTGGGGGACAGGTGCCAGCCTATATTATGAGGGTGTGAATATCCACCCTTGCTCAAAGGCTGAGGTTACATTTCCATTTATCAATCAACAACTGTCGCAAACCCACCAGTAAAAGTGCACAACATGGCACTCGTTCACTTTCAACCATTACATGGCTTTGGGATTACGACTCAACTTGCCTATCCCCGCCAAGGAAGCAGAAACGCAACCCAACACCAACACTAAGGCCGCCCTGAACTACGCATGTCGCATTGTGTCGCCTTCAAGCTAGTTTCAAACAGTGTCCCGATTTTGTCGACCCATGATGTCCGAGACTTGCCTTGACGGCGCGGCACAAGCGATGGTATACAGATGATTTTGTCGCTGTGCTTCGGCTCAAGCAGGTAGCCTGAACATGCGTACGCGTGTGTGTGCGTGTCCCAAGACATGAAACCACTGTTGACGCCTGCAAAACCCTGTTTCACTCTTCCTTGAAGCGGGTTCATCAATATGGAGACATATGCATGTGGGAACCGAAAGCTCCACGCCGTGCTTCATTTTGACGCTTAGATGGTTTTTGCAACGTGCAGACGAAAAAGCTGAATTTGATGCACCGGTATTGTCAGTGGCTCGCATTGGCACGACAGACTTTTGACAGCGCCGCCATCCGTTGCCATCATGGCATGCATCTACTTGGTCAGCGGCAAGAAGGCACGGTTGGGTCCAAATGGCCGTGCCGCACCATAGGTGGGCCGAATCATGATTCAACTTTCTTCAAATTGAAGGGGAATTGCACATCCACAGCTCATTGATACAGTTCCCCTGGGTGGTAAAGGAACTGGGACTATGGTTGCCTGTGCGTGCTTTTGAGGATACCCTTTTTGGGGTTGTTCTTTTTTTGGGAGAACCAATGGAGATTCGCTGTCTTTCACACGAATTGCCAATGTAGAGCCCAACCTACGATTTCCAGCTCGACGCAGAGACTTGCCGAGTTGTTGTCTTAAAGCGAATTGCATATCCAGATCTATGAATCCCGCAGTGGCTAGAGATGAAAGAGTTGCCGCCCTGTGCCGCCGACCCCTAGTGCTCTCTCACAACATCCAACGCCCGCTGTTCCTTCTTGATCATGGCATTTCCATACAAAGTATTCCAGTCCAGCAGAAAACCAAAGGGAAATCAAAAGCAATCCAACGGCAAACCCAAAAAAACACAAGGAAACCAAAAACAAAGCAAAGTGAACTAAAACGAAGCCACCGGGGTAGGCAACAGGAAACACAAGGAAAATCAAAGGGTGGCCAAGACAAAACCAAAAGATCAGAGGCGGCTGTGTTCCTCCCAAATTGAGCCCTGGCCCCACCTGCTAATAGTATCCATCGCTTCAAATTCACAAACAACCACAACAAGCTTGGCTATACAACCTCTACAATTTATAAATATATAGATAGCAGGGCCATGTGCACTTGTAGACAAACGTGTTGACTCCCCAGCTGTCCCCAAAACAAAGCTGTGCAACGAACAGTTTAACTGGCGGACACTTGCTAGCCATCTAAGGGCACCCCTTGCGAGCTGCAACGAAATGCAGCTAGAAATGTAGCCCACACTGTAGCCCACTATTAGTATCCTCAGTATCTCGGACGAAACACGCAACAAGTGGCGATATTTCGCATCCCCAGCATCACCACTAGGGCCTTTGTTTGAACTCGTTTTCTTTTCTAAAACACTGGTGATGCTGGGGGTGATGACCGCTGCAAGTAAACACCAAATGCCGGAAATACATGTCCTTTACCAAACTCAGGTGCTGGGGATGTCGGGCGGTCGCATCCCCAGCATCACCACCAAGGTCTATCGTCACTTTTGAATCATATGAAGCAGATACAGTAGCTGCAACATCGCTAGCATCAACCCTCAGCATCACCACCGGAACTTCTTCTGGACGGACCAGGGTGGAACAAAGTAATAATCAATTACAGGACGGCAACGTCGCAATGATCAGTATGACGATGACTTGAACAGATCATAGCGATGACTGTGATCCAATGATCAGCGTAAAGATGACATGTTGCCACCCTTCCGTGCACCTCCCCTTTCCATGAGAGGGTCGACGGATAACGTAAATCCCGATGCACACGTGGCTCTCATGTAATCCTTGAGTGCTCTTTCAGGAGGGCCGCTTTTTTTCGGCCTTGAGCCACACGCTCAAAACTTCCCGTCTCTTTGTGAGAGCGAGAACTGCTCGTTTCTGGATATATGGGTGTGTTTGTGTTGAGGGCACTCTCGTTCAGCTTGGTTTAAAAGGGAATCAACGGACAACCACCATGTGGGCGGGACCCCCTACTTTGACCCATATCTTGAACTTGAATTTGCAAACTCAGCAGTAGACTTCTATAAAGCAACCCAGGTTTGCACTTGCATCTTTGTCTCTGCTTACGAACATGTGGATGGCGCTTTGTCTAACTCGTTTGAACACATGCGAGCACGAAGACACCTAGATCACCTCGATGGGCTCACACTGCCTCAGCTTTGAGGTGGCCCTTCTTTCAGAGAAACAAGCACTCCAAGCACTAACTCTCGTTTTCCGAGCTGTGCGGTCTCACTTTCAACCACCCATTTGGATGTGTTTTTCTTTCCCAGACGGAGTGAACCTCTTTGCACGTTTTCCCTTTTGTGTTTCCTTCACTTTAATAGAAACAAGCAGAAAGTTTGCTTGCTGTCAAGTATCACAAGGGGCAAAATAAGTCATGATTTGCTAGATTCGGCTTACAGTGCCAGTCATGACCAACATCGGTTTTAAGTACCCCACAACCCGGTTCGATTTTTTTAAAGGCCCCTACGTTTGGCCAAGTTTTGAGACAAAGCCGGGGCCAGGTGGTTCCGGAGCCAGACCTGGCGCGCTGGGCAAAGGCTCACGCGGAGAAGTCTCCGGCGGAGTGGCGAGACTTGCTGCGGCGCAAGGCCGGGCGCGAAAACGACGCCCTTTTTCTAGGTCATGTTGAGCCCAGATTAATCAACCCCATTAATAGGCGGGTGTTCCAGATTCCCCACTAAACCCGGGGGCACCCCCCTATTGATAAACTGGGGTTGATTAATAGTCCAGGGGACACTTCCATTTCCATTCTTTCCAGGGATCGGATCTTTCCAGAAAACCGTCAGAACCCCAGGGGAAGCAGCGATCGGTTTTGAAAAGAATGAGGAATCAATCCCTAGACTTTGGCCAAAAAGCTCCGGCGTTGCTTGGGATTCTGAAAGTTCCTTTTGGCAACTCTTGGAGTTCTGAAAGTTTGTGTTGGGGTTCTAATAGTGATTTGTGGGGACTTTTGGACTTCTGACAGTCATTGTTGGGACAGTGCCAGTTTCTCTCTCTCTCTCTCTCTCTTTCTCTCTCTCTCTCTTTTTTTCTTTTTCTTATTTTGTTTCTCTCTTTTCTCTTTCTCTTTCTCTCTTTCTCTTTCTCTGTTTCCCTTTCTCTCTTTCGACTTCGTGTCATGACATGACGCGCCTGCATGAATTCGCACTCAGCCCCTCAAGCACAATGGTAATGACTGGAGCGACTGTATCTCACTTGCTGGCAACGCGCGACTCACCTTTTTGCAGGTCAAAGACCAGCCCAGGTTAAGTCTGCCTTGGGCAATGCAACCGAAACCGAGAGAAAAGATGTCTGAGCCCAGGTTTCATTTTTTGGGGCAAACCAAACTAGAGAAACGACCACACCCAGGCCTTCAGCATTCAGCGCACAAGTGTTTGGTTGCGTGTGCTTTGTGCAGTATCCCCTTTTCAGGTTGGTTTAAAGCTGAAATCTTCCTTTAAGTTCCTTTCCTTTGGTTTTCCTTCAGCCATGACCCAAGGGAAGTGCCAACTTTGGATCAAAACCTCCCTATGGTCGGGTGCATTCGTCTTTCGCAGGTCGCGGAGAGGCAGCGGTTGCCCAGTTTCCGGCAGGTGGCGCTGGTGAACCAGGCGCGGCACAAAAGCGCGTTGATCGGCGACGTCCTTGCGCCCACACCCAGTTGTTCAATACGGGGGCTGATCAATATGCCCCCCCAAAAAACACCATGTAACTTTTCCCATGCGAAATACACAATATATGTTTAGTGGCTTTCCTGAATGGTCATCCCACGCAAAGGACCTTTTGATCAACCCCCACATGCTCGTTTGTCCACGGCAGAGGGAGGAGTGAGCCAGAATGTTCAACGCAAGATGGCTGTACTCATTGATGTAAGGAACCCACCCCCTGTTGTTCCAATGTCAACTTCGCATTGGTTACCCCCCCTTTCAGTGCTTGGGTTTTGCGGGAGTTGCTCGGACTGGTGTCCTCAGGCTATACTTAAGGGGTTGAAATGATGGGATGCTGGGGCAAGCTACCTCATATTTTCTCATGATGGGAGCAGCATGTTGTAGTTGTTTAGCTCCTATCAGTTTGAGTGGGTTCAACATCCCCCTTTTTTGCTAAGTTACCTTCCGAATGGTTGCGAAAAAACCGCAGGCCTTTCCAGGGTTGCATGTTGCGAGTGATCCACGTTTACACCCATGTCTTGTGGCCCGGTGTTTGGTTGGAACCCCCTTTATGACATAAACCTA